AGTCTGTATTAGTCAGCTAGTGTTGTGTAACAACCACGCCAAAGACTCAGCCTCAACTAGAGGTTGTTCATGTTTGCTCTTGCTCCTGTGTCTCCCCAGGCTTAGATCCTTTTGCAGGCTGAGGGCAGCAACTGCCTGGACATCCTGTGATTTTGGCAGAGGTGCAGGACAGCAGGGAAAAGCATCCAGTGATGCTCAGTTCTCTACTCACGCTCCACTGGCCAAGGGAGTCAGCTCCGGGTTTTGTATCATCATGTTGTAGCTGTGCCTGGCCCAGAGTTTGTAATGAATAGACTGGATGTGTTGCTGGAACTTGTACCTCCATCCCTGAGCTGTTCCCCCTGTGGCTGTGGATGGCTGATCACTGGTACCAAGGACAGGAGAGTCTTTTGGCCGTGGTGGGTCCCAGCCATGGCCCCTCTTACTAGAGTGGAGCCTGGCACGGCCCCATTTTGTCTTTGGCTGTGGCTCCCACCAACATTTTGGGACACTTTACAGGTCCTACTTGGAGCCAATGGGAGGAAACCTAATTTCCTGCCACAGGAAATTGTTTGGCTAGTGAAGAATATATTTAAAGATTAAAGCCTTCTGTCAAAGGAGCTGGAGAAAGCCCTTTAGGGGTCTCAGGAACCCATTGGGTGTGGGCAGAGATCTCAGCCATGCGTCAGGAGGAGCTGGGCAGCTTCCTGGGACTCTGCTCTGTGCAACAGCAGCCACTCTGGGGCTGGGTGGAGGCTGACGCAGACGGAAGAGTAGGTTGGAGACAGACCCTTTATTGGCACTAAGCACATTTGTGGTAACATCAGCTCAGAATTAAGACCTATTTGTTGGATTTACTTCTTGGGCCCACTGCCCTGTAAGGCTTGGGAGCGTGTGTTCCGGACACACCAGCTCTTATGAAATCCAGCAGCAGCTTACCATTGCTATTTTCGCGAGCATTGGTGCGTGTTTTAAAGGCAACAGAAAGGCAAAGAAGGAACAGTACCGGGGCACTGGGCCCTGGGCAGCCCGGACTCTGAGCCAGCGGTAGTCGCTGACGCAGAAGAAGTAATGAATGAGATACCCTTCTTGTCATGAGTTTGGGAATTTTATGGCACGGACCCGATGACTTCTAGAGAAGCCTGCCAAGTCAGTCCAGCGGCCATGTGCCTGTGAGTTGGACAGCCAGAGTGCGCCCATCCATCTCCCTGTCATCGGGATCCTGTGTGACCTTAGGACTGAGCTTTGCTTCTTGGGTGTCCGGGGACACAGTGAGGTGGCACCATTAGGGGACCTGCTTGATGAGCCCCACAGCGTGGGGACAGGGACTATGTAAGACCCGGGCAGAAAAGCCTTGAGAAAGTTCAAAGCAGACCTGTGGCCTCATTTCGGAACCCCCGGGGGCTCCCCCAGATCGGCAGAGCAAAAAAGGGACGGGTGTCTCTGAGCACCTACCACGGACCTTCCTGTGCCTGACCCTGTCGTACCAGTGAGGCCGTCGTGGGTGAGCAGCGGTCACGACAGACGTGCTGTTCATCGTGTCGCTGCTGTGTGCGGAGGGTTTCCGGCAGGAGCATCACTTAGTCCTCGCAGTGGGCCGGTGAAGGAGCCTCTGTTTCAGATGAAGAAATGAAAGACCGGAAGTGACTCTCAAGTTCAGATAGCGAGCAGAGAGTCAGGATTTATATCCAGGTTTATCCAAGGCCAAAGCTCTTACCTCTTTTTTAAACGTTTTTTAAATGGTGATAGTGGTTTACAAATAAGCTGCATGTATTTAAAGTATGTAATTTGATGAGTTCTGACGTGTGTCCATCCCTGTAAAACCACTGCTACCACCAAGATCACAAACAACCTTTGCCTCTTGAAAGTCTTCACATGCCTTTGCTCATCCCGCACCCCTCATCCCCTGTACCCCCTGCAGCCTCCCCCGAAACTGCTTTCTGTCACTAGGGATTAGCTTGCGTGTTTTACTTTACAGTACTCCATAATTTCACATGAACAGGATTAGGTCTGACTTCTTTCACTCAGTACAATTATTTTTGGATCCAGCCCCAGTGTTGCGTGTATCGATGGTCCATTCTTCCAGTTTGCAGGCCGAGGGCTGGGGAAATGGCTCAGTGGCATAAGTGCCTGCCTGGCAAGTGCAGGGTCATGAGTTCAATCCTCAGTATCGCAAAACAAACAAACAAACAAAAAACCAAGGACCCAGTTTGCAGGCAGAGTTCTTTGGTAAGGGTTTGCCTCTGTGTTTATCAGTTCATACACAGGTACCTACACGTATGCTTTCGCTTCTCTGTAAGTGCTTAGAAGTGGGATAGAGGGGCTATGTGGTGAGTTGCTTTTAACTTTTTTTTTTATTAGTACCTGTTTGTCGTATATAATGTTTACCTGGAGTTGGTACACATAGAGAACACGTCCTAATTCCTTTTTTTTTCCCCATCCATTTCCTCATTTCTGTATTCCCTTCCCCTTTGAGAAAAACCTATCTCTCTACTTCCTATTATCTGTATCTTGCTCTTTATTTATAATTTGGGTTTCTCATATAAGAGAAACCATGTGTAGTTTAGAGTTTGTGTGTCTTATTTGCTCTACTTAACATTGTGGCATGAAGGTACATCCATTTTCCTACAGATGACTCAACTTTTTATTTCTTTACGGCAGAGTACTACTCCACTGTGTATAAATATCACATTTTCTTTATTCATTCATAGTTGATGAATGTAGAAGCTGCTTCCAAGAGTTAGCTATATTATGAGTTGTGCTGCTATAAACATGGGTGTGCATGGTCGCTGCACTATGCTATCTTCCACTCTTTCAGGAGGATACCTAGAAGGGAAATAGCTGGGGCAAATGGGATTTGTAGTGTTGTGTTTTTGAGGACTCTCCATACTGATTTCCACCAACAATGTCGAAGGGTTCCTTTTTTCCCCATAGCCTCACCAGCATTTGTTGCTATTTGATTTCTTGATGACGACCATTCTAAGAAACTCCAGAACTGTTCTCTGAAGTACGGTAACCGGACCGTCTCACGTTCCCATCAGCAGGGGATGAGAGTCCCAGGTGCCCCACGCCCTGGTCTCCAGCACCTCTTGCTGGTGGTTTTAGCTCTTCTCATGATTGTGTGTGGAATCTCACTGTAGCTTTAATTTATTCTTCTCAGAAGACTAGTGATATCTTTCATGTGTATATTTGCCGCCTTTTTATTTTTAGGGTAGCATCTGTTCAGATCATTACCTGCTATTTTAAAATTGGATTCTTTTCTTAATACTGAATTTTTGGAGGTCCTTCACCACATACATGCTTTCTAAATATCACCTTCTAGCTTGTCATCTTTTTATTTTTCAACAGTGCCTGTCCAAGATCAGGAGTTTAGATTTTGATGACCAGTATCAAAACTTTCTTTTTCCAGATTGTGCTTTTGGTGCCCCAAGTCACCAAGATTTTTCTCAGGGTCTTCTCCTAGCAGTTTTATTGTTTTAAGCATTGCCCTCTGGTGCTGTTTGGTTGATTTTTCTTGTCTGGGTATAAGGTGTAAGTGGAAGTTCATTTTTCTTGCGTGTGGCTACTGGGTTCTCTAGCACATCGTAGAAAAACGACCTTTTCTCCGTTACACTGTCATCATGTTGAACCCGAGTGGCCCATGTGTGTGTGGCTGATCACGGCCTCTGTGAGGTTCAGCTACTGCTGGGTTCTGGCTGGGGCTTGCGTCAAACCCTGAAGAGCAATTGTAGCCACTTCCCTAATCTGCGGGCACCTGGTGGCTTTGCAGGGCTGACAGCAGCTACGTGACTGCCATCCAGCTCACCACTTCCCACTCTCCCTTTCTTGCCTACTCAGCCGCAGCTCAGGGTCCAGGCCAGGTGGCTACGGGGACCTAGAGCAGGCAGTAATGTTCAGTGGTTGGCGCTTTGCAAAAAACTTTCAAAGGGAACCCAAGCTTTGTGGGGCCAGGGGAAGGGGCCACATGTCCCCCATTTCTAGAGCAGACGATGAAGGGCCCTGGATTCCTCATGCCTTGCCCAGGGTCTCGCAGTGAGGAGAAGTGTACCACATCCGGACCCCAGGCCTTAGGACCCCATATCTGCCAGGCTTTCTCCTGTACCTGGCAACCAGACCTGGACCATCCTCTCTGGCTCTGGCTGATAATTATTGTTGTCCCCAGCACCACGGGAGGTAGCTAATTACATCCTTCCAGATGTCCTTAGCAGCTCCGGGTCTGTCCCTGTGACCCGGCCCGGTGCTGACCTTCCTGTCCTCCCCGCTCCCAGAACAGTGGTTTGGGGACACTGAGTGGTCCCCTCTTTGTGGTTGGTGCTTTTGGGTGCATCTGGGGGCCCCTCCCTTGCAGAGGGCCCACAAATTCTGGTTACCAGACCCGTGGTTGTCTTTGGTCTTAAGGGGACACAGAGGGACAGCTTGCAAATATCTCTGCTCAGTAGTTAGGAAAACTGTGGTGGGTCCTGGATGGGCCTCTTAGGAGCCCTCACTCCTGAGCACCCCTCTCCCTAGGCTGCACCCCAGCATCATCGCAGCCAGAATCACCGCGAGACCTGACTCTCACGTGCACAGTGCTGAAACATCTCAGAGGCCCCTTCTCTAACCTTTTAGAAGAAAGGCAGACTCCCTTCTCGTAGGCCCCAGCAGAGACTGCTGCCTGCGCCCGGCCGTGCCTGGGCCCAGCTCTCTTACCAGACAGATCCTTCCTAGGTCCTCTGCCCGAGCAAAGCCAGATGAGCAGTGCGTGTGCCTTTGTGGATCGTGACTTGAGTGTGTCCCCTTCCCGAGTTGCTGTGTGCTGATCTGGGCTGGGGGCAGAGGGTGCTGGCCCGCTCTGCTGGCTGTTGGGGGCCTCAGCCTTCCGCAGCAGGCCTGCTGGGCTCTTCTGGGCTCCCTTCCAGCTCGGCTTGGGAGCTCTGCGGCTGGGAGCAAGGCAGGGCCCCATGCCAGCCAGCGGATCCTTCGGGAGCTTCCAGCAGCCGAACCCACCTTGCTGTCTCTTTCTGCCCTCCCGATCCTGGCAGGTCCCTGGATGGTCGCCTGCAGGTGTCCCATCGGAAGGGGCTCCCCCATGTCATCTACTGCCGCCTGTGGCGATGGCCGGACCTGCACAGCCACCACGAGCTGCGGGCCATGGAGCTGTGTGAGTTCGCATTCAACATGAAGAAGGACGAGGTGTGCGTGAACCCTTACCACTACCAGAGGGTGGAGACACCAGGTACGCTGCCCGGGGGTCTGCGGGGGGCTCCTGGGCTTCGGTGCCAGCCTGGCTTCGACGCTGAACGGCCTCTGCCCTCTCTCACCCCGGCAGTTCTACCTCCCGTGTTGGTGCCGCGCCACACAGAGATCCCGGCCGAGTTCCCCCCGCTGGAGGACTACACCCATTCCATCCCCGAGAACACTAACTTCCCCGCCGGCATCGAGCCCCAGAGCAATATTCCAGGTAATCGGCCCCTCCGCACTGTGCTGGCGCTGGGGCCCGGACTCAGCCCGTGTCCCCGTGGGGAAGGGGCCTGTGGCCTCCGCTCCCCACTGGCTGATGATGCTTTGCTTGGCACGGAGGAGCAGCGTGACCCTTCCGCCCGGCCCCACCGCGGTCCCAGTGCAGTGATTTATTTTGGAAGCGGAAATAGCAGCACTGTGTGGCTCTCTGGCCTCGCCCTCTTAGCAGCAGGGCTGGTGTTCAGGCAGGAGACTGTCCAGGCTCTTCGGGACCTGGGGCCTCTGACCCGGGCAAAGATGACGACAGCCTGGATGGGAGTTGAAGCCACTTTGAGCTTTCACTCTTGCGGGAGAAACTGGCAGCCTGCAGAAGACTGCAAAAGTTTGTGGAAGCCCCTCATTTATATGCAGACAGAGTGTGAATCACGCCTGCTGGTGTCCAGAGGTGCTCTGCCACCCCGGGGCCATTACCTCAGCCTGCGCCCGCTGGGGCAGTGACCTGGCTGCTTTCTCCCAGAGCCTTCTAATGCAGATGTGGCTTTCGCCCTGGCTTAGTTTGCAGGCTGGGGTGGCCGTGGCCTGTATGCTTGGGACCTGCGTGCGTGGGGCAGAACTTTTACGAGCGCCCCGCCCGGCTGTCCCAGTCCCGTGCAGGTCACCGTCGGGGTTGGTTGTCACTCACTGTTCGCAGGGCTGGTCTTGGAAGACCAGTCCAGGTGGGGTCGGGGGAGGTTCCAGGAAGCGGATCACACAGCTTCTGCCATCATCGGGTTGCATGCTCGCTGGGGAGCTAAGCCACCTTCCCTAGCGATGGCAAATGACAGACTGCAGCGGGTCTGTGCAGGAGGCGTGGGGCCGAGGGCGGGCTTGCTCTCTGGAGGGCAGCGGTGGGCAAGGCAGAGTCTGGAGCCTCCCTGGAGGCTGAGGGGTCTGCCTGTCCTGGGAAAGCAGCGGAGTTCGGTCTGCAGCAGCTCTGCAGCCCCCCAGGACAGGTGCTTCAGACTTGGAAGCGGCTGGGGCCCCAGGGGTCTCAGGTAGGCAGGCATCAGCCCTCAACTCCAAGGTCTGGGAACCCTCCAGCGCCCCATCCTGGGTGCAGGCTTCTCACAGCCCCCTGTCTTCTGCTTCCCAGAGACCCCGCCCCCCGGCTACCTGAGTGAAGATGGAGAAACCAGCGACCACCAGATGAACCACAGCATGGATGCAGGTCAGTCATGCGAGGCGTGCTTGCAGGCCCCACCGAGCAGCTGTCCCCCCCCTCTGTCCCTGCCTCGCGTCCTCCCACCCCGTCCCGTCTACCCAGTGATCAAAGTGACCCCGCCGTGCGGGGTGCCGGGCTCCCAGACGGCTCGCAGTCGCCGTGCTGTCTCCCTGTGCCCTGTCGGAAGACACCTCGGGGTGGCAGACGGCCACTTAACCTCAGGTCGGGAGGTGCTGTAACTTGCATTGTAGACTTGCCCTGAGCTGAGTCTTGGTGACATGTAGGTGATGGCCAGGAAGCCAGTGGGGTGGGCAGAGCATTGCCAGGCAGAGTCGTGGGGGCTGGGCAGAGAGCCTGGTGTGGCCAGAGTCCAGGGATGCTCAGGCCAGGCTGCTCGGTGAGGCTGGACACGCTGTCCTGGGGACCTGTCACACGGGGCGTCCGGTGTGGCAGGAAGACCACTTGTTGAGCCCGTGGTTTGTGGGAGGCCAGCGCAGGCCTAGAACCGGTGTGGGGCTGGGTGCGATGCTGGTGGCAGGGGGCAGAGGGTGGGCCGCAGAGAGCTTGGATGGAGACCAGGTCTTCGCTGCCGGCCGGTGGGCAGCCAGGAAACAGTTGTCTTTGTATGGTGCCGAATGGGATCCGGGTGCCTGTACCAGGAGGGAGCCGGCCCGGTGCGCGCTCGCCACGGCTCCAGATGTTTCCCACGTCATTTGTTAGGGGACCAGATTGGCTCCGCGGCAGCAGCTTGAATGGAGCCTCGGCTGTCACAGGAGCACGTTTTGTGGCTGGGCGAGGAGGAGGGAGCTGCGCGGACATCCCATCCCGCTGATAGGCTCGGTGCCAGCGGGCATGCTCGTGCGCACAGGGCTGCAGGCTGCATAGCCGCCTGCCCCTGTGCACAGCCCGGAACAGACTGCAGTTCCGGAAGGAAGGAGGGAAGGCAGGCAGGCAGGCCGGCAGAGAGGCAGGCTCACGTACGCGATGCGGACGTAGTCGCTGAAATCTTGCGCGGGTGCAGTGGCACTTCAGGGTTGAGTACATCCCCTGAAAGTGCTCTCTCCCCGCCCCAGCAGCTGGCAGTGTGGACACAGCGGCGGTGCGCCGGGGCCTTCCTGTGTTCCGCGCCAAGTGCACTGCAAGCTTGCCGCTGTTCGCAGCTGGCACGGGGCGGGCCAGCTAAGCAGCTTCTCCAGCTGCGGGGTTTCTCTTCGCCCTGCTTCCCGCTCCCCGCCTGCCCGTCTGTCCGTTATAGACAGAGGGGAGGTCCTGCTTCCTTCCCCTCCCCCATCTCTGCCCGCTTCTCACGGTCCCCCTCCCCTCCTCTGTCTCAGGGCCTTGTCATGAACTTCAGTGACCCATCCCAAGGGGAGATGCGTGGCTCCCAGCCAGCCCACATGGGGGTGGGCAGCAGTATCCTGTTGGTGCCGTTCTTCCCCTGGCAGCCCTGACAGACTTGGTGTGAAGAGTCTCAGGCCGGACGTCATGTTGCTCACCCCGCGTCTCCCCGCACACACGCCCTTTCAGACCAGTGCGACGGTCACACAGCCTTCCTAGGCCTTTGTGGCTGGGCCGTTACCGAGGAGCAAACGAAAGTTTCTCGAGGGCCCACCACAGACAGGCACGGCGTGAACGTTTGTATACGCGTATCCTCGCCTCATCTGTGCAGCTCAGAGTGGATGACTTTATTCCCGTTTTATACCGGGGGAAAAATGAAAGCTTAAAAAGTCGAGGGCTTTGGCTGTCACACAGCTGATCCGCGGCGGCGTGTCTCCCCTTCGTGCGTGACTCTGAGACCCTGTGGGGCCGGTGACTGTGCCACTCCCCCGTGGACTAGGGGACGTGGGGGAGAAGAAAGAAACCCGGGGCTCCTCCTTCGTCCTCTCGGTGACAGCTAGCCTTGGTGCGGCAGTGCCCTAGGCCAGATGCAGGCCTGGCCTCAGGACAGCAGATTTCGGCCGCTGCTTTCTTCGAAGGCTGATGCTGTGCTCTTTCTGGTGGGGGAAGCTCAGAGAGTGTCACTTAGGTAGAATCGGACTCTTTCCCGCGTGCGCCACCCTGTCCCGCGTGAAGCGAGGGTCTGGTTGCTGGGTTGCAGGGTTTCCATGGCAGGTTTGAGTTTCTAGGGATGGGTACTTCAAGGTCCCTGAGCAGCAGCAGCCCGTGGATGGAGGCGTGGGTGACAGGTGACGTGGTGGGAGCCAGCCTTCCGCTGCCCAGGGCTGTGTGTAGCCAGGGAGAGGCCCTTGCCCGCTCCTCTCTTTTTCCTGGGGCACAACTACTGGGACGGGTGGTGTAAGCTCAGAAAAAGGCACCCGCTAGCCTCGTGGGGCACCGAGCAGCCCCGTGCTGCAGCCTTGGCCAGGATCCTAAACCATCGGGATGAGGGAGACCTCGGAGACCATCATCGTCTTGCTGTATCCATTCCACACACAGAGAAGTTGGGTGCAGGGAGGGAACGTGGGGCGGGGGGCAGGGCACGAGGTCAGGCCTTCTCCTGCGACTTGGGGGCTCAGTCCATGGTGAGCCACCCCGTCTTGAAGCCTCACCGCTGTGTCTCACCTTGCAGGTTCCCCAAACCTCTCCCCGAATCCGATGTCCCCAGCACACAATAACTTGGGTAAGTATGGAAGGACCGGACTCTCTCCAGCTGGTGGTGAGTGTGGGAAGGGGGCCCCTGAAGATGAGGCTGCCCACTGCCCTGCTCCCCACTGGCCAGCGCAGCCCCTCAGGTCTCTGGTTACAGCGATTCTGGGGTCACCCCACAGCAGGGAAACCTGAGCGCCGTGGTGACAGGAGAGGCCACTGTGTGCTAGGTTAGTGTTACCCCTGGATGGTGTCAAACGTGAGTGGATGAAAATTCCTGGGCCTCTGGCCCTGGGGACCCGGGTCTGTGGTCAGCCAAGCGCAGGAGTGTGGTTTGCAGAGCCGCTGACAGCTGCACACCCCAGCCCGACTTTCACAGGTGGGCCTCAGACACACTTGCTTGGGTTTTGTCTGCGTGTCTCACCTTAGGATGATGGAATTTTTATTAAAGCAGCAGCACAGAAGGAGTTTGGGGAAAGGCCAGGGTGCCCATAATCCCAGCACGAGTGTCTGTTTTATCATCGGGACCAGCTCTGCTTTTCGAGCCTTCTCTTGTGTTAACACAGATGTTTCCGTGTTGAATGCCCTGCTTGCCATGAGTTACCCGTGACGTTGGGGTGCGGCTGGCCCCTCGTTTCCCCAGCACCCTGTGCTTGCCTGTCAGTCTCTGGGTCAGGATTTTGAGGGTGGCTCCACCCGCCCGGGATCATCAGTTCTCAGCGCGGGACAAGCTTTGGGAGGTCCTCTTGGCTCCCGTATGGGGCCTGCTGAGGGTCTCAAAATGTGTGACATGTATTTGTCGTCCTCACTGATGGGAAGTTTTTAGAAAAGGTGTTAGTTTTGTTTGGGGTCTGCTGCCAGAGTGAACACAGTGGCTCAGGAAAAGCGAGTGTAAGTCCAGGTGTGGGGGCTCTGAGTGGCTCGGACTGGCTTCGTGACCCTTGGTTTTGAGACCTGGGTGGACAGAAATGCGTCACCTGGAGATGCTTGAACACCCTTGAAAGCAGGCTGCCCAGAGTGAGGGGCGCAGAGGAGAAAGCGTAGGAGGCCTGCTGAGACCTCGCTGTGCGGCCATCACTGTGAGTGTGGGGTTCCGCGGAGGGTCGCGTTCCCGATACGGAGCACGGAGTTACTAAAAGCAAACCGAAGCTAGAAGCTGTGGTGACACTTGAGGCGTGAAAGGCGGGGATCGTGAACTTGACCGGACTCCAGCCTCTGAGGTGCGCTGCTTTAGCTCTGTTTTCTGGGCCGTTTTCCCCCACGGAGGCCAAGGGAGCAGGTTTAGTCAACAGACTTCGGGCAGACTCCCCGATCTGGTGGCTGAGCCTGGAAGTTGTCCCAGCTGGCCCCTGGCTGGGACTCACTGTCTAGGTCTTGGGGTCTAGGGTGATGGGGTGAGTCTTGAGCTTCGACTCATGGCATGGGGTCCCCTCCCTGCTGCTTGTCTGTGAGAATTCTGAGGTCATTTCTCATAAGCGCAGGGATGTCCCTGAGCCGGCCCCCTGGAGAGCGGGTGCCCCTTGGCTGGTCTGGGTATAGCTCTGCCGGGAAGTCTGCATCGGGACCAGTCAGCCTACGAGTCAGGACCAGGACTCGGGTGAGGCATTCGCTTCCTCTGTTGAATGAGTCCTCGACTCCCATTCCAGCGTTCAGAGCTCCCCTCTCCCAGCCCTGGAGCTCCCGAGCTGGCGCTTCCTGAGGACTCGCTGTTTAGTGCTGTTCAGGGGCTTCCTGAGTGAGTCCTCAGGGCAGCACTATGTGATAGAAGTACTGCCACTTGCATTTTGCAGAGTAGGAAGCCAAGTAGACGGGGACACATTGATCCCAGATCACACACCTAGTAAATGGAAAAGTGGGGTTTAAATTCAGGCGTCCTCCAGCATAGCCTGTGCCCCGTCACAGCAGGGCACCTGGGCTGGGGCCAGGTAGACCAGCTGTCTCCACCTGCCTGGCTCAGAAGACCAGAGGTGGTGGGAGGGACTGCAGGTGGAGGGCTGGCGGCATGTCAGGAGAGACTGGGGAAATGACCCCAAAGGGGCCCGGCGGGGCTGAGATGAGAGTCCCAGCGCCATCATGCCCCTGTGGTTTACAGAAGAAAGTTGGTAGTGGGCTGGGGGGGCTCACCTGACGGCAGCTTTATAATTATTTTATTACTTAATAATTATGAAATTATGGAATTAATTCCACTACGTGGAATGTAGATTCTACAGGACATTACTAGAGGAAAGACAAAAACAAACCCGTTTTGGCAGCTGCTGCTGAGGGAGGCGGGATAAATGCATACTGTGCGGAGGCACAATACCACCATTTAGAGGAGAGGTTTATTTCTCTCTCACGGTCAGGGGATCCAGTCCATGGCCGCTGGCTCCAAGGCGGGAACACCCTGGTGGGAGGGTTCATGCAGCCAGGAAGCGAGCAGAGCGGAAGCTGTGAGGGGCCAGATAAGGTTCCCAAGGTCACGCCTCCATGACCCAGATGTTTCTCCAAGGATCCCCGGGGCAGCTCCCAAGCCAAGCCAGCTGACCATCAAGATGAACTGTGCCAGCGCCCCTCAGGGAAATGGCAGTGGGCCTGGGAGGGCCCTTGAGAGCCGCCCTGGGTGCGCAGGCTGTTCTGGTCAGCTCTCCTGGGGGCCGTGCTGAGGCATGGGAAGCAGTCAGGCCCGAGTGCTGAGTGGGAAACCACTGCTGGTGTGGGGCAGGCCTGTTTGTTCCTCTTCCCTGGGCAAACAGGCCCCTGCTGTGCACCCCTCTTAACCTCCTGGGGATCCCTGGTGCCCACTTTGGAGACTCCCCCGAAGGTGCGGCCAGTGTGGACAGTGGAGGAGTCCAGTACAGAGGACAGCCCACTCCAGAAGGAGGAAGCCAGTGCCAGGGTCCTGGCCCTCAGGACGCGGGCTGAGGGTGAGGCTGATGAGGGGGTGGGGACACTCCGAAGGACAGTGGCAGCAGGCAGCCGTGCAGAGCTGAGGCGTGGGAGGCGGCCCAGAGAGTGGCGCGGGGAGCTCAAGGGCGGCCTTCGCAGGGCGGTTTGCAAGCAGCAGTGGGGCGAAAGGGCAAAACAGGCTGGCAGAGTGGGGCAGTGGGCAGCTGCCTTGGTGCCACTTCCTGGTGGCCGCTGTGTCCCAGTCCATGGGATGAAACCAGTTACATGGTCAGCTCTGCCTCGAAGGCAGACGCATCCCAGCTTACCTGTGTCTTTTAAAGAAACGAAGTTAGTGTAACCAAAAGGGCTGCAGTGGGGGACCTCTGGTTTCTCCCGTTGCTTCCTGCCCACTCCAGGCGGGGGCCGGTGGGGAGGACAAGGCAGGTGCAGGAGGAAAGGGGTCACTTGCGGCACCCTGCGGGGGCGCATAAGCGTCTCCTGCTGTATGTGAGACATCCCGGAGCAGCCTGTGGAGGCCACGGAGGCCCAGGGAGTGCCTGGCGGGGACTGAGCTGGAGTTTAGGGGGGCTGGCTTCCCAGAGCGCCTCGGCAGAACGCGGCTGCCTCTGTGCCAGGAGCGGGGTGGCAGCCGGAAGATAGAAGGCCACCAGCCCTGGGGAGGGCACAGGGGTCCTGGTTGCAGGCCTGAGTGCCAGGCGTCTCGGCGCTGCCACACAGCCCTCTTCTAAGGCCACGTCTGGCTCCAGGCTTCAGAAATCTTGGGAAGCCCCAGGCTGGTGATGGGACACTAAGTCCTCCGCTGGCGGTCCCTTACTCTCCCGGGGGCCTTGGGGGCTTGACTTTCCCGCTGTCCTTGGTGGTGCTAAGCTGGCTGCCGGCTGAAAAGGTTCTTTCTCTGTACAACCTGTTGCTGGAGTCCTCAGAGATGGGCTGGAATTAGCCGGGGCCACAGCGGCTGGGCTGTACCCAGACCGAGAGCTGCGGGCCCGTGTCCCGGTCACACACGCCGGCCTTACAGGTGGGTCCCTGCAGATGCTGGGGGAGGGGCAGCCCAGGCGGAGGGATGGTAGAGACTGGGGGGTGGTGACAACGAGGGACCGGAGCAGAAAGTCACTTCTCCCTCCCGCCTCCTCGCCTTTTCCTTTACCGGGTTTGAGTCTTTTGCACATGTTTGTAATAGGCAGCCCATCATCCAAGTGTTGCCTTCTGGGTCTTACTCTGTTTTCTTTTCCTTAAACAAAACAGAAAGCCCATGCCACTTTGGAACAGGGCTCATGACTGAAGTCAGCCAAGGTGCCGGGTGGGTGTGGGGCCAGCCGGGAACGAAGTGCCCCGTGCCACTTGGCAAGTCTGGCCAACGCCACCTGGGGGAGGCCGGGACGGGGCTGGAGATTCCCCGGTCTCTGGCCCCTCTGTTCTGGGAAGCAGTTAGCTCTGCTCGGCAGTCTGGTGGGAGTGGGGTGGTGGCGGGCAAGGCCTCGGCGTGTTGTCTGCCGCTCCAGGTGCGCAGAGACCCAGGCCTGGCCCTGAACCCTCACGGCCGTCCTCCTAGAGGAGCCTGTGTTTGGCGTGCCTTCACGTCCCTGTGTAAAGCTGCTTCTGCATTTGTTGGCAAACTCTTAAACCAGGGCCTGCGCGTTTCCTTGCTTGATTGCTGTGGTGGAGGGGCCGCTGCCTCCCACTGAGAGATTTCATTTAAGCTTTAGCACCAGGACAAGCTGTGTTTCTGTGGTAGTGCTCGTAAGCACTGTGTACTCACCCACGAGAGCCATGTTGCATATTCTGTTCCCTTTCTGCTTTGTCCGCTAGGAAGCTCAGAGCAAGTTGAGTATTCTTTTCAGTAGCTGTAACCTCCTGGTTCCTGACTTTTTCTCTTGTACTCACTGTGATGTAGATGAGGCCTTTGATGGGAAACAAATGAAAGCACATGCACAGTTTTTTAAAGAGTGTCATTGAACTGAGAGCCCAGAGACGGCGACCATACCTTTGGTCTGTAGCTCCTCCTGCAGAAGTGCCTCGAGGAAGCCGCCCAGGGCTGTGGGAGGGGGCGGTGGGAGGCAGGGCTGCCTTTTGCTGTGTGGAGTGAGCACCTGGTGGGCGCTGCTCTGGCTCGGCCTGCTTCCCACCCCAGGGAGCCGGGCCCGCAGCACGCCTGGAAAAGGCAAGGCTCACGCTCCGCCACTGGCCTGACCTCCGCTGTCCCCCCAAACAGGCACCTTCTTCCTGATGTGTCAGGCTGTGTCTGAGCTTCGGGGGTGTTCAGAAGGGCTCAGGCCTGCCTGGGAGGGCCTCTCGGACCAGGACTCCTTGCAGTCCACACCGCCCTAGAGCCTGGTCCCGGTGTGCTGGTCCGCAGCGGGTGGCCTGCTGGCCCTGCCGGTTGTGACTGGTGTGTGTCAGCGTGCCGGGGAGCCCTGCTTGCTCTCCTGCCTGGATGAAGCCCCAGGGATTCTGACAGGGCTTTATGAGAACTGCATTCCGTTCTGTACACTGCTGAATAAGCCAGGGTCGCTCCGATTAGCCAGAGCTGCCTATCCAGCCGAGCCAAGCCGGAAGCACTGATGGCCGGCAGCACACGGGTCATGTACAGACTAGGAAACTGAGGCCGGGAGGGAGGTCATGGCCTGAAGATCACACAAAAGGCAGCAGACCCTACGTGTGGGCGGTGGCAGCCCCAGCCCCAATAGGGTGCCTGACCGCTCTGAATGCCTGGATTGCTCTTGGATTTCCTGGGTTTTTTTTAAGTTTCTAAAGCAGCATAGCTCACATTTTAGTGGCCACATTGTTTTGAATATAGCTTATCTCCCTGGAATGTGGGAGCACTAGCAAAGCCAGAGCCGGAAGTAGCTGACGTGGCTCAGCCCAGCCTCAGGAGCCAGGGCACAGGCCACAGCTGCGCGTGCCCCAAGGCCCTCCCTCTCCCGTCCCCGAGCAGCCAGCGCCCTGCCTCCTGCCGCTCCCCGGGAAGAGAGGAGAGGGGCAAGGGCGCAGTGCCCGCCTAGAGGCAGTGCTCGTAGGATTGCCAACAGGACACTGCGCGCCTGGTGCATGCTCTGCACTGCACACTGGCGGCTCAGGGCACCACGGCAGTGCCCGGGTAAGGAGGGTCCCATGCCCAGGTGAAGGCCACAGAGAAGCTGAAGCTCAGAGTGCGACCACGCTGCTCTGTCGCCAGGCAGTGGTTTCCAGCCATGGGCAGTTTTACCCCCTGGAAGAATCTGGTGCTGTCTGGTGGCGTCTTTCATTGTCCGCACTTGGGAGGGGAAGCAGGTGTATGCCCCTGGCAGCTGGGGGAGGAGGTCAGGGATACTGCTGACCATCCTGTATCACTGCAGCCCCCACCTCCCACCTGTGACCTGGCCGCCAGTGCCCACTTCCAGGCCGTGACCTGCAGGGTGTCCCTGGTCTGCAGCTCCCCATCGCCTCCCTTCACCCTTGGGAGGGTCGTCTGGGCCTTCTCGTGGCAGGGCTCACCCAGGCCTTCCCCAGGGGCAGCATGGCTTCTGATCTTCTCTTAGCCGTGGCCGGCCTTCCAGGGTCCCTGTGCGGAGACGTGGGCACCGCTGCCCTTGCCCTCCCTCTCAGAGCTCTGTGCCAAGGACATAAGCAGGGCGGCAGCCCAGGCCGGACAGTCAGGAAGGCACAGACACCAGCTCATGGAGTCACGTCCTAGACAGCCAGGTGGCTCTACATAGGTGCAACAGCCACAGTGAGTGTCCCGGGCTGGAGGTCCGAGATGGAGACGGAGGGCTGAGCAGGACCCCGATTCTGCAGCAGACGGGCAGCAGGAGGTGGCGTGCTGTGCTCCCCGGCATCATGAGCCTGGGCAGCTGTGGAGCTCCGTGTGGCCGTGGGGAGAGCGGGGCGAGGAGTCACAGGAAGTAGAGAGCGGGGACCCCTGTACTTTAGCCTTTTGCAGCTCTCCTCAGGGAAAGCCTCTCACAAGATGGCAGTTTTGCTTTGTCGGCTGGCAGCTAGGGAAGTGTGGCATGACACAGCATGGTGTGTAGCTGGCACACACCGGGCACTGCTGCCTGTGTGGGCTCTGGAACTACTGTTCCGTGGGCTGAGCTTGCCCGGGCCGGGGAGCCCAATGCGGGAAGCCCTTTGGGGACAGAGATTCGCATGACTCCTTAGGAGACCTCAGCTCCTCAGGAAGAGAGGCCAGGAGGTGACTGTGTGTGGCGGGCGGGCCCCGTGGGTCTGTCCGCAGGGTTGGCCTGGGGCCTGGCGGGTCAGGTCGGGAGGGCCCTGGTGGGCTGACAGGAAGGGAACTCAGGCTCTTTACCACAGAGACAAGGCCGGCCAAGTGCCCCTGCAGATACCCTGGTGTCCTCCAAGTTTTATGCAGGGAAAGGCGTGGGGCAGAGGGTCCTTCCCCCTTTGGGAGGTGGGGGAGGTCTCTCACCAAAGGGTCCCAGGGCCCGACCGCACACACCCTGTCTCCACAGACCTGCAGCCAGTCACCTACTGCGAGCCGGCCTTCTGGTGCTCCATCTCCTACTATGAGCTGAACCAGCGCGTTGGGGAGACTTTCCACGCCTCGCAGCCGTCCATGACGGTGGACGGCTTCACCGACCCCTCCAACTCGGAGCGCTTCTGCCTGGGCCTGCTGTCCAACGTGAACAGGAACGCGGCGGTGGAGCTGACACGGAGGCACATTGGTAACGCGGCGGCCCCCAGGGTGCTCTGCCTCCTTTCCCGGCCCACAGAATTCGCTGGTCCCACACGGGCCAGACAGGCAGAGTTCGGGTGCTCAGTCATTCCCTCCCAAAGACAGGGACCGTCTCCCCACATCTGCAGCCATGTAGCCAAACACCTCATTCGTGGCAGCAAGGAAGGGAAGTCTGTGGGAAAGGTGACAGAGTTTTTAATAAAAACACCCTTAAAGTACAGGGAGGTTAATAAGTAGGTTGTGATTCTTGGACGAACGAGCTTTAATTTCTTAGGTGATTATTCTAGACCATGTAGAAAAAAGCCAGAAAGACAAAAACGGCCCACGGCCTAACCTTACGATGTCTAAGCCAGGCACCCAGGACATAAGCAGACCAGTGTGCTCGTTCAGGGCAGATGAAGCTCGGCTGTGGGTCACGTGGTTTGCTCGAGTTACTTTACAGCTGTGGAGGCGATGTGGTCAGATATTCTTAGACATTGCCCTGGAACCCCAAGGGTCAGCTGGGCAGGGTCAGCTGGGCGGCTCCAGGGCCAACCTGGGGAGCTGGGTGGGGGTGCAAGGGGGGATGTGGGCCTATGTGAACCCGAGCATCACCGCTCTTGCTGGTTTGTTCTCGACCCGCACAGGAGGGTCCGTTTGAAGAGCAGATTCTGCAGTCAAGACAAGGGGCTCAGAGGCCTCGGGCTGAGGGCAGCGTGCTCGCGGGGATCTGGGTCTTTCCTGGCCTGGCTGTCCTTCCTGCTCTTGCCGCTCCTTCTGTCCCAAGTCCCGGAGGATCAGGAGAAGAAAGGGCGCCCTAAGGGAGGGACAGTAGAGGGATGGGAAGTGCACAAGAGGAAGCAGGTGGCACACAGCCCCCCACATCAGCTCCTGCCCTCCTGCCATGCTGGGCCCAGCTCTCGGCCTCCTCCCCGGAGTGGGGGGTGGAACAAGAGTTTCCCGGGGTGCAGGGGGCGGGGACAGCTGCTGGCCCCAGCGCAGAGCTGAGCGTTTGCATAACTGTTGGAACTGCAGAGCCAATTTAAAAATAATTCCTGTCCATCTGGAGTGGATTTAAGAGATGAAGGAAAAATAATGATGGAGACTTACAAGCTACTCTAGAACAACTCATGGAGGGGTCACATCGCCCCATCCCTGGGGCCGCAGAGCTAGTGGGGGGCGGGTTGGAATGAACCTCGCAATCTGGGAGCAGAATAAGGGCCAAAGGGTGGCACTGGGCACCCTCTGTGTCTCTCGGTGACGGGTGGGGGAGGAGTTGCTACCCTGCTTTCCGGGCCCCAGGCTGGACGTGTGACCGAAGGCCACGGCGCGTGCTTTGTCACGTCCTCATAGGCTTCCCCTCCCGTGGAAACCCAGTGCTGCCCGTGAGTCCCTTGTCCAGGTCTCAGGCTTGGGCTCTGGGTCCTGTTTGCCTGGGGACACTGACAGAGAAGCAGGCCTGGGGGCAGCCCCTGCAGCTCTGCCCTCCTTCGCATCCTGGGTGGCCAGGGCCAGTGCGTGGGCGCCGGTGCCCTGATCCGGTCTCACCTGACTCTCTCTAGGGAGAGGCGTGCGGCTCTACTACATCGGAGGGGAGGTCTTCGCAGAGTGCCTCAGTGACAGCGCTATCTTTGTTCAGTCTCCCAACTGTAACCAACGCTACGGCTGGCACCCTGCCACCGTCTGCAAGATCCCCCCAGGTGAGCCACCCCACACCTCTGTGCCAAGACCCCTTTTCCCACCCTTTCTCCTCAGCGGTGTGTGCACCGGCAGCCTGGAGGGGAGTGACAGCGCTTTCTCTGTGCCCGGCCATCTCCCTGTGCTCGCCCCGCAGCAGTCTGTGGGTCTCCTCGGGACCCGGGGGGCCCTTCCCACCACCCCAGAGGCTCAGCAGCGTGGCTTCCTTCCTTCGCACATTCCTTCCTCCCATCCAGAGCGTGCAGGGTCTGTACCAGGGGCTGGAGGGCGCAGGTGGGGCGCTGCCCCTGTCCCCACAGGTCTGCAGGGCTGTGGGCTGTGTGAGACTGAGACCCGGATGTGCGGAACACCAGGGTGGGTGCTCAGCGCCAGGCACGCGGCAGAGGGAGAGCGCAGCGCGGCTGCCGCGGGTCAGGGAAGGCTTCCCGGAGAGGATGGGGCGGCGCTGGGAGACTGGGTAGAGCCCTTGAGGGCGGAGGGGCCGCTGTGATAAAGATAAGGCCAAGAAGCCCGGGGGGTGATGTTTCAAGCCACACTGGAACCAGGCCTTGGCTTTCTTCTGGGGACCTGCTGAGTTTCCTGAGTGAGGCTGATGGGCCCAGGACCCCAAGAAGGGAAGGGGTGCCGGGCTGTGCCCCAAACGTTCGGGACAGTGGGCTGCCGGCTTGTCTAGTGCTTTCCTGGGGCCGAAGCTGGTTTCAGCCCTGCTCCGCTGCACTGCGCCTCGGGGCGCACGGAGGCAGAAGTGGCAGCACCCTTTTCCCTGCCCGCTCCCTCCTCGGCCTGCCCCGTGGGTTTGGAGGTTGCCAGCCCACAGCATGTCAGAACTGGAACATCCTGGGAGGCCAGCCCCACGTTTACAGGGAGACGCAAGGTCAGAGAGAGAAGGTGACCGGCACAGAGCCACGCGGAGGGAGGAGGAGCGGGTGCTGGTGCCTTCCTCAGGTCACCTCGGCTCACCTTTTGATTATGCTGGCATGTGCTTTTGTCTTTCTGTTTCTGATTGACACATTCCTGGCTTTCAGACAGCGGGACTTCAAACGAGAGGTTTATTTTAAACTTTATTTGTGCCTGCGTCTAGTTTTCCTGTCTGGAGAATTGGAGGCACACCTTCCCTTTGCTCGAATGTCGCCACGACCCAGCCTGTGCCCAGAGGACAAACTGTGACCCAGATCTCTCCCCCTCCTGGCCCTGCACGAGGCATACCTGGCAAAGCCCTGCTGAGCGTCCTGGGCCCAGGTGGTCGGCCACGTCCTGCACGGCACAGGTCCCCGGCCTCTCTGCACCTGGAGTCTTGCCCAGGCCCCCTGGCCTAGCACTGGGCTCACCTCTCTCAGCGGTGTGCGTGTCCCTGGTGGCCCTGTTCACAGTCCACCTTCTGTGTTCCTGTGGCTGAAGCAGGGGAGCTTGTGGGACAGCGTATTCTGACAAGGTGGTGACAGACTCCAGGGCAGGGGCCGAGCACATCCACCCCGAGTGGTGCTGGGTTTGGAGTCTGTGGCTGATGCCTGGAATGACCATGAGCTGCGTGATTTAAGCCAGGGAGACCCAGGATGGCTTCACCAGGAGGGGGGCCACGGCCACGCCTCTGTCCCCAGCAGCGCTGTCCTTGTTCTGTCTGCAGGATGCAACCTGAAGATCTTCAATAACCAGGAGTTCGCTGCACTGCTGGCTCAGTCTGTGAACCAGGGCTTCGAGGCCGTCTACCAGCTGACGCGCATGTGCACCATCCGCATGAGCTTTGTTAAAGGCTGGGGAGCCGAGTACAGGTCAGTGTGGGGGCCCGATTCTGGGCAACTCGGGACAGCAGAGCCGAGGCTCCTCAGAGATGAGCGGACCGGGTCTCACACCATGGATGAGAGCGAGGCCCGGCAGGCAGGCAGGCAGGCGACGGAGTGTGTCAGCCCTGGGCGATCGTATTGCTAGCACTCAGCGTGACCAACACACACATCCCATTTCATCCTCCTACAGCCGCGGTGGGGACATGGACATCGTCCCCGCTGTTCAGATGTGGGGCCTAGGAAGGAAAGGCAGTCGCCTGATGTCGCTTCAGTGGTGGAATAGCTCAGGCAGCACTGCGCTCCAGGTCGCCGCTTCCTCCCCTCCATCTGGGGCAGGTGGCTTTAGAAGGGCCCTCCCCAGGAAGTGGAGCCCTCCGCTTGTGGCTCCATCTCTGACTCAGGGACCGCGGAGACCTCAAGCGTGTAGGACAGTGATGGCGAATGTTAGGACTTCCAAGACAACAGCCTGCTGCGGCCCACGCGCCACAGGTTCACCAGCACTGACCTACGGTATTAAAGATGAGGATCAAGGAAGGAGGGAGATCTGAGTACCTATAAAGGAAGACAGTTCATGTGTGCAGAACTTTCGATAGGATTCTACAGCGTATTTTAAATGTGGCCACGATCACAGTTCTGTCTGTTCTGCTCAGTGGTCGCGAGAAGCCGGTCCTTTTCTGTCCACACCCTGCCCAGCCCCCAGCCCCCAGCCCCCAGCCCCTAGCCCCCAGCTCCTGGGCAGCCAGACGCAGAGGTACCCACACGTCAGCGGGAGCCAGCGCCTTTCAAGTTACTCTCCCCTGCTCTCCACTTTTCCAGATGTTTGGAATCTGTTTTGTTTTGCAGTCATTCTGCACCCTGGCCAAACCATTTCAGGGCTGGCCTGGGGCCACCGTTTATAATGAAGTCCCGATGAGCATGACTTATGGAAAGTCAGATTCTCATTAGAGGATTTCGCTCTGTGAAATCCTCCTCCTCCTCCTCCATTTACTGTATTTTAGCTCCTGTTCTTCTGTGTCTGCCCCACGGAGCCAGGGAAAGGGGCTCCCTGGTTCCCGGAGCCTGTGACATCCAGGAAGTGACTGTGTAAGCAGTCAGCATAGTCCAAGCCCTGGGGAACTTAGGACCATGTTATGACCCTAAAGAGATTAGCCCAGGCTGGGAGGTCCAGCGGGAGAAAGATTTTAACCGACCTTTCCGCCCCAGCTTGGGTCACTTAGGGAATGGGAGTGAAAGGTTACAAAATCAGTATTTTAGTGGGGAAGGGAAATATCTGAAGACGGAGCCCAGGGAGAGTCGGGGGAGGTCCATCTGCTCTTCCTCCTCCTCTAGTCCAGGGGCCAGCCTCAGGCACTCCCCGCTCGCCAGACAGCAGGGGCCCGGCCACCTCCAAACCGTCCGTCTCCACTGACGCACAGGGGCCCTGGCCTGGCGCGACACCACGGCCCTCCAGCTCCCGGGGCTGTGAAGAGACCCCGTGGCAGCACACCCCTTTCTGCGGGGACACTGCGTCGCTGTGCAGGACGTCCTGCCAGCACACCCAGTCCTGTGGGGCCACTGCGTCACGGCCGCGTGGCGGCCGCATAGCAGCCAACAGGCAGGCGTGGCCCCTTCCCAGAAGAGTCTCGTCCTCCTGCCCGTGGGCCAAGGGGAGTGAGGTTTCAGCTGTGTCCCTGAAGAGGCCAAAGCAGGGCGCAGGGCCCAGGCTGGTGTGTCCAGCTGGCCTGGCCTCCACATAGATAGCCTTTGCTCAGCGCAGGCCTTCGGGAGCTCGCCGGCCAGCGTCTCAGCAGCCAGCCTGAACTTAGACAAGGTGCTCTGGGGAAAAGAAACGTGTGGTGTGCCTTGATTTTTTCCAGTAATTGTTCCATGGCTAGCTCTACTCGTAAGATTTTCCAAAATAAGGCCGTAGACGTGAAGTGTATCAGCATGCTGGGAGCCCAAGGCATGCGGACTGTCGGCACTCTGTACAGACCCCCGCCGCCAGGCAGACGGCGTGCGGGCCGCTAGGGCTGGCCAGGGTCCGCGCCTGGGGAGCCGTGGGTGCCCACTTGACAGGGAAGGCGCCAGAGGGGTGAGCCCCTTCTCCGGGAGGCCTCCGCGGTGCCCTGGAACTGACCTTGCACGGGTAACACAACCCATTTATACCAAATATTGGAATTTTTTGAATTTTGGCATGAGATTTATATGTTACCTAGAAAAATTCAAGGAACAGGGACCTGAAAACATTTCATTGTGTTCCATTGTTTTAATGGACCCCTAGGGATAACAGGATTAAGGCCCTCCTTCCTCCCCCTCCAAAGAAGCCGATTTCCTCAAAATCCCCCTTCGTGGGAGCAGTTTGGCCTGGTAGTTCAGCAAGTGACTGGTACCCACCTTCGGGCAGTGTTTAACAAGGTGGGATGTATTGCCGGCTTTGGGACAAGCGCTGTCACTGAAGCAAAAAGATGTATTGACTAGGAAGAGTGTTCCTCTGGGTATTTAAGCCTGCCACCCTTGTTTCTGCAGGAGACAGACAGTGACTAGCACCCCCTGCTGGATTGAGCTGCACTTGAACGGACCTTTGCAGTGGCTGGACAAGGTCCTCACACAGATGGGCTCCCCCAGCATCCGCTGTTCCAGCGTGTCCTAGAGGTCCTGAGCACGCAGGGGCAGGCAGGCTCGCTTGCGACAGTGGCCAGGGAGGAGACGGAGACCGGAACTCTACTCAGCCTGCTCGTGCCAAGGAAGAAGTATGTTTTCTCCCTCAACTAAGGTGACACCAGCCTGTTCTTGCGAAGCACAGAAGCAAAGATTTTACGAACAGTGGTGTCTGCCGAACCCGTGTGCCCTCGGCCCCAGTTTGAAGGACAAGAAACAGCTTGTGTGCTGGTGGCATGAGCGAACAGGTCCTGTTCAGCTGCCTGGCCTTCCCCCAGCCTCCTGTTCAAAGGACAGCAATCTGGGATGTCAGAGTCCAACAGCAAAGCCCCTCTGTCCAGGGCCGGGGTGTGGAATCTACCTTGGAAGGAAGTTCCGGCTCTCTGGCACGTGTGACAGACGGACACCTCTCTATATGTGCATTTCCAGCCAAGCCCCTCTGTGCGGGCAGAGTGGGGAGCCTGGCGACCTCTCCGCGTGGCGGGGAGCGCCCCACTGGCTCTCTCCTTTCTCCAAACACTGATTGGTGAGACAAATGTGTTCAGCAGGATGTGGTGCAGCCGTCTCTTCTTCCGGAAGCTCTCTGTTCTTTCTCCCTCGGAGCGGTTGGAAGGATCTGCCGAGGCTCAGCGTGTACGCAGTGTAGTTTATCATACTGATCTCAGAGATTTGAGTGACATTAAGTGTTCCCGAGAGGCAAGGGCTGAGCGACATCGTGCTGGGGGCAGCTCCGGCACCAGAAGTACTTGCTCCATACAGTCATGCACATGGCTGTGTTGGTTTAGTAAATCAGTTGCATTAAGTAAATCAACTTTATCATATGCTCTTTTAAAAGTTTTATATTAAAAAAAAAAATTCTGGGTAGGCACATTGACTGGGAAACCGGAGGAAAAGCCAGCACACAACTATTTCCTCCTCTGCCCCAAGGTGAAGCTCTGCCAGGTTTAGTGGAGGAGCCACCTGCCAGCACGTTGGGAAGTTGGAATTCACAGAAGCAAATGCACCAGAAGGGAAACATCTCAGGCCAACATACGCATATGAAAGGGCTATTAAATTTTTTTTATACCTTTGAAAATTGCAGGGTTGGTGTAAAGAGGTCTGTCATCTCCACCCTGGGATGGAAGATTATCTAGCTCACCGCGGAGGCCCATCAGCGACAACCATAGCAGTGATACTGTGTAATAAGTACTGCTCCCAGTGGCAATTAGGGAGAAAACTGGTATAAATTATTTCAACTGGAAAAAAAAAAGACAGAACCCTCTCTCTTACTGGCCTTTTGCAGAATACAGCAGACAGGATTGACACCTGCAAATGGTACTTTACTCTTTGCTGCTTTTTTTTTTTTTTTTTAAATGAAAGGACTTCTCACATCTTTGCATGGATTTATACCAGAAAAAATAAAAGGATTTCCTATGGAAGTCCCGTCTTATTCCAGGTGAAGGGAAGAAAGTGTAACTTTTGGCAGGTTCTGAACCTCGAATGTGATGCAATTTCTGATGCTCGATGCAGACTTGGGCCACTCGCTGGTGCCCCGCCTGCAGGGCCCTGTGCCCCGCGGGTGGAGCCGTGAGATTTCCAGGTAGGAGCACTGCTCCCCGAGCCTCCTGAGGACACAGGAAGAGAAGGAAGGAGCGCCCTGCCAGGCCTGTGTGCATCTTCCCGCGGGGAAGCTGACCCGGAACTCAGTGAGGCTATGAAACTCTCCACTTCCTCTGCAGCCCTAACTCTTCGGACCTGGCTCGATGCTCTGAAGACTGCCGCTTGCAAACACGGGAAGTCCTCTGATCCTCCCGGATGTGCATTTGTGTTCCTGGTCAGTTCTGAGACCCAGGGCGAGAACGCGGAGTGATCACAGTCCCTCTCCTGAAAGCCACGGGCAGCGGCCTCTGAGGGCCTGGCTTCCTGGGCACGCAGTCATCCTCCAGGCGCGTGGAATCCAGCTTCAGGGACAGCCCAAGCCTGCAGAGCCAGGGCTCAGGTTGGGCTGTATTTGGATGGCGTCTGAACTCTCAGCGCTCAAATCTGATGGTTGCTTCTAGGAGGCATGAGGTTTGGATTTCGTGTTTTTCCCGAAGGCTGTTTCCTTGGCCCGTTCTCTTCGCAGACCACTGGAGGAGGATGAATTATCGTAAGCAAGCTGCCCTTGGCATCACTGACAGGAAGTTCGGGCATACTCAGAGGCTGGCCGGGCCGCTGCTCCTGTCACTCAGCAGCAGAGGTCTTTCGGGCATGTGTAATTAGTGTCCTTTCTTCGTGTTAAATTCTGTTGTACAAATGGCATTTATACATTTAAAAACTTTTTAAAGGTGGCTGTTCGATAGCAGTTTTAAGTATGGTTCCCTCAGGCCACGTGACTACCTGTGTGGACAGACCCCAGCCCTGGGCCTGGGGCAGGGGTCCTTGTCTCTGCCTGAGGAGCCAACGTTCAGTCCTTGTCCTCCTCCGCCCTGCGCGTCACCGACTTCACTTCGTAGTGCAGAGCCTGGCAGTGCACGCTCGGGAGCCGCTCGGCAGGGTTGGGTTACAGGCCTGTGCCCACACGTCGCCTCGGCCAGCCACCTTCCTGCCAGGCTGCAGTGGGGAGACCCGACGTTTTCAGAGGAGCCGGGAGTCAGGAGCAGAGACTTGGACTCTTAGGAAAAACACGAGGGCGAGGCTGCTGGCAGACTTTTCCATTGTCCTGATGTTGTCTGTGTTGTATTTTTTTTTTTTAACTGACCATGGTGATTATTTTTTAAAATTGTTAATGTATTGAAATGAGCTGTAGCACACATCATGTGCGTAGTTTGTTTTGTTTTTCTCCAGCTCCCCCTTGGCTTCCTAGAGCTTGGACATACTCCAGGACTAAATGCTCTTCCCCAAACCGCAGGCAAGGGTTTTCCCTAAGCAGCATGTGCTTGTCAGGCGCGGACATGAGCCTCAGGGGAGATGGCCAACGCTGGATTTCCTTCTCGGCCCACATTGCCCCTTCTGAGGCTCCGAGTGCGTCTCCTCGAGTCTAAAAGGAGCGGCGGGGAAAGGAACCCCGCTGCGCGTGGGACTGCTGTTTACTAAGGGGGCGGCGGCGGCACAGGCTTCGCCTAGACCCGCTTTCTTACTGTGTGGTTTTACGTGGTTAGAGCAGGGGCCCTCCCCAAATCCCCACGTCTCCCCTTTACTAGAAGAAAGCCAGAACAGCTAGCCAAGTGGTACCGCTTTCCTTCACGTGGCATCGACGACCCCTCACGGAAGTCTTGAGGATCTTTTCTCCGAGGGAGCACTGGCTGTCTCGGGTGGGCGGAGAGCAGAAAGACATTCGCCACACAGCGTGGGGCACAAAGCCGGGCGCGGTATCCCTCCCGGGAGGTGTCAGTCTGGGACACCCAGGCGCACACAGAAACACAGCTTTCATGGGAAGGAAACTTGCAGTTCATGTAACTGGATTGAGAAATTCTTAGTGATTCCATCATTGATTATTATTTTTTTTTAATGCAGAAGTAATGTATACGCTAGCATTCTGGTGTTTTTATATTTATGTAATAATTTCTTAAAACCATTCAGACAGGTAACTATTTAATTTTTTAAAAGTACATGTGGAAAGGTGTCTCCTCCTAAGGACAGTGGCTGGAAGGGGCGGGGCGCGGCCAGTTCTCGGTCTTGGTGGAGGGTGTAGGAGCTCTTCGGGTTTGGCATCGGAAGCACCGAACCCGGCTGGCTAAGCAGGCAGCTCCGAGTCAAATCTGGGCCCTCTGACAGGGACCTTCGCTCGGGGTCAGAGCTTCCCCTGGAGAGACGGAGCCGTCTGTGCAGAGCCGCCTTCCCTCACCCTCAGTGCCTGGCATCAGCCCCGCGGAGCCTCGTTCTGGTGTGCGGGAGGGGACTAGGACAGGGAGGAGGATGCCGATTCCCTTCGCTATTCAACCAGTCTTTTAATCTCTGTAAAAAGCATGTATGTATTTATAGTGTTTTAGATTTTTCTAACTTTTGTATCTTAAAAGCAGAGCACCTGTTTCAGCATTGTACCCCCCTTGTTAAAGATGATTCATGTTGTCTCTTCCCTCCTTTTGCTCTTGTAAGTGCCCTTCTAATAAACTTTTCATTGAAAAGCTCCTAGGCCAGGAGCTCGGTCTGATGTTTGCTGGCGTCTCTGGGTGGAGAGATTCAAAAGTGAGCCGGGTGCAGAGGGAGAAATCCGCTAAGCCCCGTGTACTAGGTCAGCACCGCAGCCGGCCACGGTGCTGCTGTCACCCCCACCCGCCCCAGTCACGCACCAGGGCACTGCTTGAGACAGCAGGAGGCCGTGTCATCCACGTAAGAATCATACTCTTTGCTCCCTGCATGCAAACCCTGCCCCGTCCCTCTGACACTCTGCAAGGCCACCACCACCCTCTAGACTTGCCACCTCTGGCTTCTGCTCGGCCTCTCCTAGCCAGCCCCCCTCCACACTGTCTCCCACTCCTGAAGGCCTTCACAACAGTCTTCCCACAGGTAGAGAGTTTTACATTCATGGGGACTACGCTTCCATACTGTCCAGCTCAGAGCACGGTCAGTTCTAGTGAAAATTCACTGTGAATTCCAAGTCCCAATGAGAGAGAGACTTCAGAATTGTTTCCGTGGCTTAAGATGATCAAGGTGTAAGGTGCCATTTGCTTTTCAAGTGTTTGAAAAGGCAGAATTCGGGGTGGCAGCCTAGAGATGGCTGGAGTTGGCCTCTACTGAGGCCTCTGTAGCAGTCCTTGAAGGACCTGAACCCAACCCCTCCTCCTCAGGAAGGAGTCTGAGCGCCCTCAGGGGCTGCCACACTTGGCCTCCATGAATGCAAGCAGTGCCTGCCTTACAGTTTTTCCAGAGGCCTTCCCCGAAGTTCTGTGGATCACTCAACAGCTGACTTAAACCAGCGACTCAATTCCAACAGTTAGACCTGAGCCAGCGCGTAGCGCCCCCTGGGAAACATCTTCTGCTCCCCGGTTAGCAGCTGCCTCTGCCCTTCTACCTTTCTGTTCTCAGCAGCACGATGCGCCTTTTCTTCCCCTTGCTCAGGCAGCCCTGGCTGAGCAGACTCCCGGCCTCCGCAGCCCCTCAGGCAGGCTGCTCTGTCCCACCCGCGGCCCTCCTGGACTGGAGTTCCCACACCACTGCCTGTGCTCTTGACATACACTGTGCTCTTCGAGTGACCCCGTCAACCCTTGAAATTTCAAGCCACACAAATACCATGCCTTTCCACTGGGTTACTTTACTCTGACTCCTTACATATGACAGAGGAATGACACCAAAATACAGTCCCTGATTACCTTTGATCATAGCTTCCAAAATTCTAATTTGTCCTCCATGCCAGGGATAGCAAGTTACGTGGCAAAATTAACTACCATTCCCTGTATCTCTGTCCATGGCCAAAACCTCTAATCACGGGGCTGGGTCCATTCCCAGGCTCAGAACCCTTAACACAGCTGGACGACCAGGCAGCCACGGATGGGTCTGTGGCCACATTTTCCCGGAGTGTGTTTAAGGCTGGGTGGCTTTTCTGCTCACAGATTTATGGCTCCCAGGCTCCTCCAGAGCTGGGACGGACTCCACGAGGTCCCTCTGATGTCACTCTGACCGTACCTACCATCACTATCTGGACTACCTGGGTTTTCTTAAGAGGCCTGTTGCTTTCTTTCCGTAACCGTTTAAACTGTAATTTATACTAACAGTTCTGCTGCCTGCACTTACTTACCTGTCTACCCAAATTCTTTATCTTTTTAGCTCAGTTCAAGCAGCACTTGCCCTAGGTCAGTGGCTCTGCAGCATGCACCAGCGGGCACATCAGAATGTGCACACTCAGGCCCCACTCGGATCACTCAGTCTCGCTCCAGGGATTCCAGCGAATCCCCACATGCTCTCGGTTCAGCAGTGCAGCCGAGATGCACCCCCTGCCCTGCCCACCACGCCCCGCTCTCTTCTCCCGTGGCGCTGAGGCTTGTCACAGCGCACTTCATATTCCGCCTGGCATTCTGCCTGCTGTGACCTTGTCCTGCTTGCCCCCTACTCCCTCCAAAGATGGACTCTGAGCTCCTTGAAGATGCATCCTTCGGCGAGTCTCTGTCCTCCCCCGTGCCTCGTTCTCAGTCTGGCACTACAAGGTCACCCACTGAGTTGGGTGGACCCTGACCCTTACTTCAGCCCTCACTAATCCAGAATGGACAAGTCTGAGGCCATCTCACTGTATTAATAACATCCTGGGAGTTTTCTGGAGAGATACCACTGGTAGAGACCATGTCTTGAACTTCAGATTAAAAGAATCTTTTCTCTTTCAAACTACACTGACATTTCCATAAAGTACTGACCACCCAGGCCTTACTTAGCCCACACTTCTGCAGCATTGAAACCATCCGGTAGATAGCAAAAGGGGCAGAGGCACCGACTGACCATGTCCTTCAGTGCAGAGAAGCAGGGAGGCCTCCTCGTTAGCAAGCCGAGCAAGAGTGATGTCACGCGACCTGGGGCGCCTGTGGACGACGCACACAAAGGGTTGGGAAGGACTGCCTTTCTTCCCCCAAGCCTGTGTTCTGAAGATGCAGGAACAACCACGAGGGCCAGGTTTTGAGGCAACCGTTTCCCAACATGCAACAACATAGAACTGTACATCACTGAAGGGCTCTGGGAAAAGGTGTCCTGTTGCCCTTTCCTCCGCCGTTCCTTCCTCATTCTCTAAGGCGGGAACAACTTGGAATCGAGTAAGACACTTCTGACACTAAAACTTAACTCCATGCAAAGACGCTATGTGAAGATCAAGGCCTGTGACACTAGGGACAGTCCTGGGTAACGCCTAAATACCGAACTGCAGACTTTCTGAGACCTGTCTGAGGAGCTTACATGTCAGAGCTGCAAGAACAGATCACTAAACTAAACCCGAAAGGGAATCTGAATCAAAAACTACAATCCTGCTTCACTCAGCATTTTACTTTAAGAGACAAATTGTGGGAACACTGAAATAGGGCACTGTCTCCAAATTAAGCTTGTACGCAAGTGGTACTCGTCAATATAATTGACCGGATTTTATATTTTCTCCACCTACAGCCCTCCGGCATGATTCGGTATGCGATACTGCAATGCTGTGGTTAAACTGTCTACTGTGCGTGCGTGCGTGTATAGAGCGTGAAGAGCAAGTGGTCACTGAATCCGACCCCCTGAACGCACAAGACACATGCTTGCTAAATGTACCTTTGCATCAGCCAACACGGAGCTTTCATCGAACCCTCAGCCAGATTCTCCTAAGAGCGCCTTTCCAAGGCAGGCAGGCGGGGCCGGGGCTACTTCCAAGTTCTCCCGGTGGCCACTGCGAGAGACCCACTGCTCAAGGTTAACGGAATCTGACAAGCCAGGGCAAGACAGTTGATCCCGCCGCCCCACAGAGGGAACACGGAGTCAGCTGTGTGTCGCCTTTCACATGTTACAAGCAGCCGCGGAACAGCCTGATGTGCGCTGCGGCCTGCGGCCGTGTGCCACATTCCTCGGCCATCTAAGTCTCGCTTCCCTGGATCTCCAGCTTCCCTCAATCCTATGCAGCCAGGCTCTATAAATAGGAAGCAAACAAACTGGATCTGTCAATCTTCTCAGACCCTGGCAGGACAGCATATTTTAAAATTATAAAAATATCTATGTCTTCACCACTCTAAAATTATTATATAACACGATATCCGGGCGGGGGAGGTTTATTCCTGTCTCTCCCTACTTCCAGCACTCTCGGATTTTCAAGCTTTGAGAGCATTTTCACCAAACGTGAACCATGCCTTCCAGCGAAGGCTGCGGGGCTGCCGCGTGCCAAGCACTGTGCCGCGCCGACCGAGTGTTTAAGGAGAGAGCTCACGCTCTTCAATTCCAGCTGCGTGCTCTGTAACAGGCACACAGGTCAAGTTAGAGACGGCAACTGTTACTGCAGTATTAGCTTGCAATCCATCTTTCAAACATGAGCCAGCAGCAGACAGCACGCGATACCTTTGTTTTTTCCGGTACCAGGAATTGAACTCACAACCTTGCACTTGCCAGGCAGGCGCTGTGCTGCTGAGCTAAATCCCCAGCCCCAGCATGCGATACCTTTATCCTGCATGTGCCTAGGAGGGGTCCCCATCCCCAGACAGCTGAGACTCAGAGCAGTACACACTACATTCGGGGCAGGTGGGCTCTAATAGGATGGGTCTGACAAACCCTTAGGCTCTTCACTACATGTGCCTGACCCAAAGGAGGAAGGCTGGCTTATCCCACTTGTACCCTACTGAAAAGTAACACACATTAGCAGGCTTTGGAAATAAGTCACATTTTAATCACTTGGCTTTGCTAGATCGATAAAGTCAAGTTCATAGTTTTTTTCTTTTCCTAATCTGTTTCCCTTAACAATGTGGCCTAACACATTCTCTAAAAATTTCTATGTTTTAAGAAGTATGTGTTCCACCTTCCTGTTGATGTCAAGGCCAGTTTCCCTTCCATTTTTAATCAGGGGGTCACAAAGCCTCCTCAAGAAACATCACCTCAGAGAAGCACAGTCACCTCAGAGCAGTATCATTCCCACCGGTGAGAGGGGCGGGCAGTGAACCGCACATGCAAAGAGCTTCAGAAAAGGGGAGTGGCAGACAGCAAGCAAGGTGGCGTCCACTGTTCCCGGGGTGCCTCTTCCCGAAGGCTCCACTGCGAGCTGTCCCCTCCCAGATGGCTTGCTGGCCTCTGGAACATTCCGCCCTCTGCTGTCTCCAGCTCCCCTGAGCCTACACTGGGGACCCGGAGTGGGCCTGAAGCTTGGTTTTGCTCATGATCTAACCTGTGCTCCCTCCACTCTGGGAGCAGAGCCCACGCTCAGCCAGAACCAGCACCGGGCCCGTGTGCCAGCGCCACCGTCCACAGCACTGTGTCGGTCCGGAGCCACAGCGGGGGCAGATCAGAGCGGGTCGATGGCGCATACTACGCAAGTGTCCACCGAGAAAGCAACTGGGATTTTTATTTGTTGTACCCTCGGCTCGTCTCTGAAACTCTGCTTTGGTTGGTTTCTCTGGGGCTGACCCCTCCCACATGGCCCTGGATAAAGGACGAAGGACTTCCCCAGGGCTACAGCCCAGAAGGGCACACAGGCAAGAGGACCCCACGCTGAGAGAGAAACAAGGTGCCAGGTGCGCGCTGCCTGCTGCTTCAGCCCTGTGCAGTCAGCCTACTGCAGCGGTGACTTGCCGGCTTCCAAACACGAAGAAGGGACGCTTGCCTTGTTTTGAGGTTTGAAGGGTGAGGGCACAGCTCTGGCATCTCAAGCGGCAGAGGAGCGGGCTAAGGCAGAAGAAGGTCTTCACATAATGGCGACATAACCACTTCGGTCATCAGCACACCGTTTCCGCGACCCACACGGAACCCTTCCGGTTCTCCCTCACACAGGCCCCACGAGGTCCTGGCAGAGGCTTCTTTAACCCGCACCAGTTAGGAAACCTTCGCTTTATTTCTGGTAGTCTAAAAATACACGCTGGTTTTCCAATTCTTTCTAGTTCAAGCTCAGATACCACACTTCAAAGAAACATTCAGAAGCACATTCTAAGTTGGATATAAACTCAGGGGCCACTGACTTTGCCCAGCCTCTCGTACTATGGCACAAACTAAATCTGCAGCTACCTGTTTTCTTCCAAGAAAAAGCATCAGAGCTCGAGCTGCAAGCTCCTGGAATGGGGAAATTCCCATCATCACGCACAAACTCCTGACCTGGGGCATGAATGTGGAGGCAAGGAGCATAACACAAAGGCTGGCTGAGAGTGTCTGCTTGGTTTCCTTCTGTAAATTGGGCAAATCACACAGACCTGTGATACTCACCCTACCCCACTCCTGGAACAAAAAAGAATTTGAGAAAGTCTCACTGTTGTCACTGTACTCCTCAAGGAGAAAGACTTCTCTGAACTCCTTACTAAAAACTAACATTAAGGGGGACCTTAAAAACAAACCTGGCAGCCAACATAACAATGGGGATCTCAGCAAAGTAGAACTGGCTCAAGTAGGAAGTATCTTGGGTAGAGACAGCTAGCATCCTTGTCAGTCCAACCGAGCAGGGATAAGCTAGTGTTCTTCATCAGAAGAAAGGCCTTCAATTTCATCTCTGTCTCCCCCAATTGCCATCCAGAAAGCCTTAGCCACCTGTGGAGAGAAGCAGGCAACAAGTTTTAGCCAACAGCTGAATTTCAGTCCTACCTTGAACTAACCGATGCATGCTGCCCTCTAGCCCTCTGGCAAAACTGAAATCCTTAAATACCCTTTGACCCAGGACTTCCATATCTAGGAGTTTAAACTAAAGATGCCATGAGAGGTGTATATGGAGGGATGTGTAAGGATATGCACAGCTTCATTTATAGAAGCAAAAATATAAATGTACTGTTGGCCTATATCTCCAAAGGGAAACTGGATAAATTATGACACAGACAAATAATGGAATCCCAGCAACCATGTAACTTTCCTGCCAAGAACATATGTCATGTTGGTCATAACAAAACTGCTAGAAGTCGCCTGGCCCCAAAGCTAGGAAGACAAATATCCCAAGTCTCAGTGAGTCACTCGGCATACATTTGAGAAATCTTATTGTGACTGAACTAACAGCATTACTATTGCACAAATATTTAATTGTAAGTTAATATTCAATGAAAGCTCACACTAAGACCCTTTAGAAGTGCACAAGTGTGACATATGACAACACCGGACCTTTTGTAGGTACTCAATAAATACCTCACTGATTTTCTCACCTTTTCTGCGTGCAACTTTCTTTGCTCATGAGGAAGCGTCGCAGCCTTGTCTAGGGGGAAAATATATCTTAAGAAACTTGCAGCAAAAGGGAACCTGGAGGGTGGGGATGTTCTAACACAGGACGGTGGGACATGGGTTCCACAGATGTATGTTTGTAGCGGTCATCACCGCTACTAGGAAGCTGAAGTCTTCCAGACTGTCCACATGGAAAGGATGTCAGTAAATCGCCGGGGACCTGAGACCTACCATGGTAATGAGCACACCGAAAGAGACAGAGAGGTGCAAGATGGGAAAACAAGAAGAAACAGAATGAAGAAAGGCAATTTTCTACAGGGAAATTCTATCAGCAGAGGATGGCACAGCCCCCACCCCAGGGTAAATGTTCTCTGTACAGCTAAGCCCAGACTCAAATCCAGCAGTTACAAAATAAAATCCGACTACATAAAATGGATGAGTGTCACTATGGGAATACGTTAGACAGAAGCGAGTCCATTACCTTTCATTTCTTTTAGTTTTGAAAATAGTCTTTCAAAATTTTCCAGATCTCCTCCTCCAGTAGTAAGGCTGGCTAATTCCTGAATATCCAGATCTAACATGGGATCTGAAATAAGATTTGTAACATGTTATTTGTGTCTCAGCCAGGACCCAGACTCCTAAGGCAAGCAATGCCGGCTTCGATGAAGGTGGCCAGGGACTGAGCTCCCGGCACCCCCGCTCCGCAGGTCACAGTGCCCCGCCGGCTTGGCCGCTGGCACCCCGCCGACAGCTAGGAACTGACTGTCCCTACGGCAGTGTGACGAGGGAAGGAGGACTAGCGCGGGGCTGGAACGACTGCCTAGGTCACAGCTACTAAACGAACTGACATTTAGGTGACTCCACCTGGGAAAGCCACGCGTGCCCCGCCAGGCTACGCTGATTCAGAACCGCGACCGAAGTGACGTAGCACTGGACAGCACGGGAGGTTCTGGCACACCTACTACGACAGCAGCCGGGCAAGCTGAGGACAGACGTCATTATCCACAGCTTACAGATGAAAAGCCCTTACTTTAAAATGGGCTCACGGAAATGAGAGCTAGCTATTCATCTCTTACTGCAGACCCTTTATCTACTGTACATCGGCGCATTCCTCTTTATCAAAGCCATTTTAATCAGGATTTTAATCCTCCTCCACTCCTGGCCCACCAGCTTTAGAGCACCTCCCCGACCGCCCCTTGCCTCCTTCCGTGCCCTTCAGAGCTGCCCAGGCCTGCACTGCCGCAGCGGTGCCTCCCGACATTTCCGGGCGCTGCGTCTGAAATCACTTTCATGTCACGAAGAGTTGCCAAAATGGCGCAGAATTCCCGTGAGTCTTGCAGCCACCATCGCTGTGCGAACACCCTGTGTTGTTACTAGTATTGAAAGCGGTTAGCACTGACTTCACGCTGCTAACGCACAGGCTTCGTTCAGACTTCGTCGTCACTCTTTCTCCGAGGGTCCCCTCTCCGTCCCGGGGTCCGACGCAGAAGTCAGCGTCCTAGTCCCTTACTCCTCCCCAGTGCGGTCCTCAGCCTTCGCCTTTCCTGACGCTGACACTGCAGAAGAGCGCGCTCAGTCATTCTGCGTGACGCCCGCAGTCTGGTCTGGCATGTTCTTACGACATCGTGGGCAAGACGACAGCACGGGCGCTGCACTTCCTGCAGGGCCTCCTGCGGGGCACCCAACGCCAGCACGCCCTACTTCTGCTCATGAGGTGGCTGGGATCTGCCCGGTTTCTCCCGAGTACAGTTCCTACATTCTCCTCTGAAATCAATAAATACCTTAGGGGAGAAATTTCTAGACTAGGCAAATAACCTACTTCTACTCCAATTTTCATCCACTGATTTTAACCTTGCCTGCAAGAACTATTACTGTGGTGTGTGCCTCATGTTGGTTTTCTATTTCCCTCATTCCTTCTGCATTTATGAACTGGAATTCATCCGTGAGGAGGAAGACTCCTTTCTTTCCCATTTATTTATATTAGTACAGCCTCACGAAATTTATTCTGTGAGTTACAATCCAATCGTAGATGAACTTATTCTGCTGGTCGCACTGTCCAAGCCTTAGTCCCTGGAAGCTCTCAGGCTGCCTCCTGTGCCCTTCCCACACGCCTGAGTTCTTTGCGAAGCACTTCCTTACCCTCTGGCAGCACAGATGACCCTGACCCAGGACATCAGACACTGCTCGAAGAGCCCTGGTTCCTTCTACTGAAACCTGGTACTTAGAAGCCAGGATCTCAGTGCTCGCCAAATACATGCATCCACACTAACACATGCATGCACACACATCTGTCTTTATTTCTCTACTGTTCTAAGTTTATTTTTACAACCATGAGTTCATATCGATATGTTAGGTTCCAATCCAATACCAAAGGGTTGGTTCATTCTAGAATTCTCCTTTATTTATTTTATAACTTCCTTCTCTGACAATGAATGAAAAGTCTAGGTTTCATTATCTAGAATATGTTTTATTTAGCCTGTTTTCCTGAAATAAGACTTAGCTGTGAAATAATCAGCCATGAAAACTAGAGACCACAAGTGCCAGCCCCAATCAGCCTGTCTTTTTTTTTTTTAACCCGCCTTAAGGAGTAGCCACCGAGCAAGAGAATGGTGACAGCAGAAACTTACAATGCTTAAAAGGCCAACAGGAAGGATTCAATTAAAAGCAGAAGGTTGAACAAACCAAAGAGAAAAGATTATATCTAATTTTCTCTTAACACATTTCTATAACCAATCGCTTGAGTTTTCTATATGGATTATCTTCAAACCAGAAAAACAACTTTAAGAAAGTGTCACCGTGTGCGAATGCCCAACAGAACGATGATAAGACGGGAGTAGCTGTCGTTCCCCACTACAGAAGAACATTCCTGTCAACTCTAAGCTCCTTGGCTGCCTGGCTTTGGACAGCAGACTTGGTTCCAGGTGCGAGATGTCCTTGAACAAGTTACTGTATTTCTCTAGGTGTCAATATCTTCTCTGTAGAACAACGTTTTTGCCAAATCTCATTACCAAATGAGAAAGTGGATACAAAAAAACTATGCAAGGATGTGAAAGGGCTTATGAATATAATATTGCATTATTCTCGCCACCATTAACTCCAACTACTGCTAAATACTATGAAAAAAAAATCCCATGGAACACAGAACTATAAGGCTGTTGTAACACCAGGTTCTTTCTGTCTTACCTAAGATGATCTGAATCAAGATCCTGCTAAGAGAACAAAGAGGAAATGGGACCCACATGTGTCTGCCATGTACTTATTCTCCCCCCTTTTCTGACATCACGGGCAAAGCTCCCATTTAGGGCACATCATCCATTTTCTTCCCTTCTCCATGTTCACAGTCAACTGCACCCTCCACAATTCCCGCCCAGAAATCCATTCCAAACTGCACAGAGCTGTCTCGTGGCGGCCCAAGTACTCACCCAAAGTGCTATCGCCCTGGGCATCTGCTGTGTTAGATGCACCACCCCGATGGTCCGCGAGCGGTTCTGTCCTGTCTGCGGCTGGCAAAGGGGGCTGCTTAGAGGAAAATACACAGAAACGACAATTTAGCAGTAGGCTGTTTCACAGATAAATCCCCAAAAGGCTCATTCTCACGCTCCCCGGCTGGCTGTAAGAGCTGAAGGTAAGAAAAGAAAGAACAAGCAAGGCTGTTCCTATTTGAACAAAAAAGCTGAAAATTCCCTAACCCAGGAGCATTTGCCCTCAAGGAAAAACTAGCAAGTGTTCTGACTTTGCTAATGTTTTCTGTTTCACTTAGAGGCACGTTGTCAACATCACACTGTGGGGGGAGGAACTGACGTTTCCTCTGAAGTCCAGGACGAGAGGAGGATGCTGACTCTACTACTCCTGTTCAGTACAGCAGATGAAATCTGAGCCAGAGCAATTAGACAAGAAAAAGAAATAAAAGGGACATAAACAGGAAAACAGTCAAACCAGCCCGACACACACACAATATGACCCTGTACTCAGGAGACCCGAAGGAGTCACCAAGAGACTTGTAGAGGTAATGGACGAATTCAGCGAAGTTGATATAAAATCAACTTTAAAAGTCAACAGCTTTTCTCTAAACCAGTAATTTAACTAGTTGAGAAAGAAGTCAGGAAAGTAATTCCATTCTCAATAGCTTCAAAATGGTTAAAAGTAAAGAAACACCTAGGAATCAACCTAAACAAGGAAGTAAAAGAGCTCTACAGTGGAAATTACAAACCCTAAAGAAGGACCAGGGATATCGCTCAGTGGCACAGTGTCTGCCTGGCAAGTGCAAGGTCCTGAGTTTGATTCCAGGTACCAAAAAAAAAAAAAAAAGTAAAAAACTGAATTAGACTCTAGATGATGGAAAGCCCTCCCATGTTCATGGATTGGCAGAATTAATTTTGTTAAAATGGCCGTATTACTGAAAGCAATCTACAAATTCCACGCAATTTTTATCAAAATTCCAATGATATTCTTTATCAAAATTCAGAACTAGAAAAAAAAAAAAAAACCTGAAATTCACATGGAAACATCATAAATGACCCAGAATAGTCAAAGTAATCCTAAGCAAAAAGAACATGGCTGGAAGCATCACAATACCTGATTTCAAATTATACTACAAAGCCATCGTAACAAAAACAGCAAGGTACTGGCACAAAAACAGATACATAGATCAATGGGAGAGAAGGATACAAAAACAAACCCACTCAGCTACAACCTTCTGATTCCTGACTAAAGGACAGATGTTGAAGAAAAGATCGCCTCTTAAAAAAAACTGATGGCAGTACAATTGGTATCTAGGTAGAAGACTGAAACCAGATCCCTGTGCAGAATCAAAATCAAAGTCTCTCACCTATAAAAAAAGAACCCCCCCAAAATCAATTCAAAATAGATCAAAGACCAGGTATACAACCAGAAATTTTGAAACTGCTAGAAGACAACACAGGGGAAATGTTTACATATACTAAAAAAAAAAAAGATTTCCAGACTAGGATTCCAATGATATAGAAAATAATAGAATGAATTAATAAATGGGACTATATCAAATTAAAAAGGTCCTGCACAGCAAAGAAAACCACCTACAGAGTGCAGAGACAGCCTACAGAATGAAAGAATTTTTTTGCCAGCCACTCTTTCAATAAAGGATTAATACCTAGAATATACAAGGAACTCAAAAAACCCAGTCAATAAATGGGCAAATGAATAGAACAGATTTCTTTTTTTTTGTTGTTTTTTCTCTGGTACCGGGAACCAAGCTCACGACCTTGCGCTTGCCAGGCAGGCGCTTTTGCCGCTGAGCTAAATCCCCAGCCCCGAATAGAACAGATTTCTCAAAAGAAGTACAAATGCTAATGCGTTTATAAAAAAAAAAAAAATGTTCAACAGCTTTGGTCATTAGGGAGATGCGAATCAAAACAACACTGAGATTTTACCTTACCCCAGTCAGAAAGGCATATCTGTTTGACACAGGGTCTTGCTACGTAGTTCAGGCTGGCTTTGAACTCACTATGTAGCCCAGGCAGGTCTCGAACTCACAGCAATCCTCCTGCCTCAGCTTCCCAAGTGCTGGGATTAGAGTTGTGTGCTACCACACATGGCTGGCTAATGTTAAGAATATAAAAGTAATAAATGCTGTCAAGGATGGCAGTGGGAGGGTCGGTGGGGAGGAACCCTCTGCACCGTTGGTAAGGATGTAAATTAGTACCACTGTGGAAATCTATATGGAGCTTCCTCAAAAAGCTAAGAACAGAACTCCCATATGACTTGGCCATAACACTCCTTGGTATATACGCAAAGGAGTGGAAGTCAGCACAGTCTAAGGTACCTGCACACTCATATTCTCTGCGGCCCAATTCTCACTAGCCACGATAAGGAGCCAGCCTAGTGCCTAGCAACAGGCAAATGGTGCATGTATACATACTGCAGTAGTGTTCAGCCATGAAGAACAAGCGAGAGAGTGATGATTATGTGTGCATGTGCGAAGATACAAATTTAAACCTGGTATGTTATAAAATTAGTAGGCACTAGTGAAAACATATTTTAAAAAATTATTTTAAAAGATCCATGTTATACTCAAAATGTGAAAAATGCCATGAGCAGAACACCAACGGCTTTGAGGCTGATGGGAAGCACTGTGCAGGGACAACACCGCGCTGGGTCTCAGGCTCTGACCTGAGCAGAGCTGGCCCGGAGTCCCTGAGCACAGAGGGCCGCGCTCACGGAGGGCAGGGGCCTTGCCTCACATTTGTGTAAGGCCTTGTACACAGGAAGTACTTAAACACAATTTTATTTTCTATTTAAAGGTCTGGAGGCCTCAAGGAAATCCAAGTGTATTTCAAAAGACACTCCAGAAAAAACAGAGAGAGCCCAAGCTGCAGACCTCTCGGAAGAGCTGACTGCCGTCACTCTCGGGATGGGGGGTGGGGGGCAGGGGGGCGGGGGCGAATGCGCCTCGTCCACCAGGCACCCGGCACAATAGGGCCATGCGAGACCCTCCTGCCGTCTGTTATTATTCTCTGCCTCCTCATGAATGGAAAGAAAGAACGATACATGTGTACATGGTCGTAATGAAAAGGGGAAATTAAGGCCGAAGAGGAGAAAAGATCCAAGAGAAGCGTTACCTCTGAGTGACGAGGCTCCGTCATTGCACGGCTGCGGTTTGTCCCAGCCAATGAACTGAGAAGGCTGAAGCCTTGGTTCCTATCTGAAGAGAAAAGACATGATCATCAGGAATTTTCATTTACATTCTGAGTTACTGAAATGGCTGTGGTGATGATGGAATGAAGGACATCTCGTCATTATCAACGTTCTGACTATAAAATATGGTTAGTATCAACTGCCATGTTGTTAGAGCATGGATCTAGAACATTCCCTGAAGGTCCCCAGCCAGCGGGGAGATGGGAACAGTTAGGAGTCAGGGCTCATAGGAGAAAGCAGGGTCACTGGGGTGTCCTTGAAGAGGAGACTGAGATCGCAGCCTGTCCTCCCTCTTTCTGTCCGCCGGTCGCCGTGAGGTGAATAGGCCTCCTCCATATATGCTCCAGCCACGACACACTGGCTCAGCCCAGCCCAAGAAACCGTGGACAGAAGCCTCTGAAACCACGAGGCAAAGCAAACCTTTCCTCCTTGTAAGTAGATCATCTTGGTTATTCTGTCACAGTGACACAAAGCTGCCTGACATGCATATTCTGCATAAATGTTTTCAAATCACAGAATATTAGTCTAGGTCACAAATCATGATAGTGTCATTACAATATACAAAAAGGCCACTCCATGATTTCATTTGCAAAGATTAACAGCACTCATGCGTTAACAGTCACTATAAACAAATATTCCAGTTTTAAAATAAGAAAAACAATTAAAAATCAGCCCCAAGGCACGATTACGAGGTAAGAAGAACACATGTACTCTGAAACACAGCAGCCTTGAGATGAGGGGTCCCCTGCAATGAAGCTCCCTACGCTGCCGATGTCTGTATCTCAACGGAGAACAAGTCTGGGACAGAACGAACAGACCAAACACTCCTGAGTTACCGCCTTAGGGCCCAGGCCAAGGAATCTCTACATTTGGCAAATACTCCAGTGGAGACTCAGGATCAGAAAGCTCAAAAAACCCTGCCTTGGAGGAGAACACGGAACCCCATCCAGGAGTCTCGAGGCAGAGATGCCAAAACCTTCTCTCTCAAAAACACAACGCACCCCGCCCTGCCTTTCCTCCCTAAGCCCTGCTGGAGCCCCCTCCCACCTCTCACTCCTTCTGAGCCCCGCCCCAGTCTCCCCACTCTCTCTCAGGGACTCCAAGCCCCCCTCAACTCCTTACCCAAAGGCCTGGGTATGACCAAACCGAGGGCAGGGCGTGAAGAGGTCCAAGGCTACCCGTGTGCTACACTCTTTTGCGCTGTGGATTTGTTTATTCAAACATCAACGCAGCCCTTCCTTTCGGCCAGCGTGCTGCTGATTGTAAAGCAGTTGTACGCAGTTACACAAGATTTGGGGGTTTTACTTGTCACAAGGATACATGAGCGTTTTTACACTCTAAGCGTCTGTGTGAAAGGCGGGATCCCATAGTAAACTATTGCTGTAAGACACTCCTCCCTTCTATTACTGGAAATAACTCAGGCTTTGGGTAATTTTCAAATCTAACTCATAAAGCTCTCCTTATTTCAATTCCATGGCTTATGATTTTCCTCTGTCGGGCATTCCCTAAGCTTGGCAGGCCAGGCTGCAACCTGTGAAAAATAATACAATACAATGTGGGGTTGTGCATGTTATTAGACCAGAACAGTCCTCTTAAAACTTCAGCCACCTCCTTCACAGCGGCCGTCGGCGAGGAGCGACCCCAGGGCACAGGGGCTGGGAGCGGGAGCTGACTCCACACGACATGAACCTTGGATTTTGCTCCACGTTTGGGCATTACTCACCTACTCAAAGGGACTTTTACAACACGGTATGATTTTATGCTACGTATATTTTACCACAATTAAAAATAGTAAAAATGCTTAAGCCTCAATTCTAATGGATAAAATTATAAAAAAGAACAGTGGGCAGAGAACCGGGCTAGTGCACAGACAGAAAGGGCTTCAATCACGGCTATGCCCGCCTGTATGGTGGCAGACAAATTAATCTCTCTGTGCCTCAGCTTTCCGATCTGTAAAATGAGTTGGCCGCTAAACGCGGTGAAAGCCCCTGTGCTCAGGAAATCTGTAACGCTGTAGAGGCATCCTTCAGCCTCTCTTAACAGCTACCTGGAATTAGCAGAGCTTGTTTCTTCTTCTTCTCCCCTCTGATTATTGAATAGAGATAAAAATAACAGCGAGAACGTGAGAAGGTTCACAGATGGACTGGGTTTACCATCAGGCTTCCGACTTGTTATGATAGGCTGTGCTTGGTATTTTCTTATAAACAATAGAGAATTCAGTCAGCTAATAAGACAGTTCATATGTTCCACTGCTTATATTTTAAGGAACTTAAAAAACATCAACTTATACAATTCGGAAAATAATTCATTTTTGTTTATCCAAAGCAGAGTGCTTGTACATTAATGCTGCCCAGAAGACTTCAGTATTTTATACCCTATAGCTTTAAAGAAACTGCTTGGTTCAACGTTTTAAAAAATTCTGTCCACATGCACCCACTGTACAACTATTCTCATAGAAAAGAATTACATACATCTTGGTTGCTAGATATTTTTGTCTCTAGGATTCAAGACATGGAAATGTCATCCCTATTAAGAAGTACTGACTTACTCCTTTATGCGATTGTGGCTGAAACTTGCCCTAGCGTCTGTGATTTGGTTGATGCCACAAGATACTAGACTAGGAAGGAATAACTGACTTCACCTAATCAACTGCTCGATCTTCGGAGACACAGAAAGGGGAAGTTGTTATGTAAAGCAGATTATTCTGGAAGGCAAAGTAAGAATAGTAGTTCTTCCTTATCCAAAGGGGATCTGAAGCAAGAAGACAGGATGTGGCTAAAAGTAGCTGGGAAAGAAGGCATGACAAGATCCTGGGACACGTGCACAGGACAATTCTCAGAGCTCTGCATGCGGACTTCTCGCGAGAGGTTTTTGACAGGATGGCCTGGACGTAGGACCAGTGTGGGAAATATAAAAAAGGGACTGTCGCCATGAAGCACTCGCTGTTCTGTCTCCTGGAGGTAGCCCACCCTGCACTGCAGAGTGTATTTTTGTTTTTCTCCTTTCCCCAAGCTTACTCTGCAGAGCTCATTTTGCCCCTACCTTTAATAAGTGTAAAACTCTGCCACTACTTCTGCTTGTTTCTTTTTTCTTTACTTGGGACAGAAGGAACTAGACGTCACCTCTAGAAGAAGACTCCAGCACTCCAAAGCCCAGTAATGGCTACACGAAGATTCCCAGGAGATGTTTCAAACCGCAGGTGGTACCAAACACTATTTACAGTTTCTCCCTATACAGGGCAAGTGTCCCAGGGATTCAAAATGCTCCAAAATCCACAACTTTTTGAGCACTAGTATGCTGTTACAAGTGGAAAATTCCACACCTGATCTCATATAAAGGGCTACAGTTAAATCTTATCCCAAAGATAGCTCATTATGTATGTGCAGATATCAAAAAATCAAAAAATACCCAAAATACAAAAGCTTTTGGTCCTAAGCATTTTGGATCAGGGACACTCATTGTGTCTGTACACACATATGACAAAGTTTAATGTATCAACTAGACACAGCTGTTATTAAATAAACTAGTTATTTACTAATAACTAGTAAAACAGATCCAGTTTAACAATATACTGAATATGGTCACCTTCTCTCAAAATACGTATCTTGTTACGATGAACTTGTCCTTATGACATTGTGAGGAGGTGCTTAAAGAAAACACAGCTTCTCTTTGGCACATCACAGTTGGCAGCACCACTTTGGGACTGTTATTAAGTAAAATTGATGCACTGAAATACCTCAACAGTCAATCTGACAGCCAAAAGCACTACTAAATGACTGCTGCGTGGGTAGCACATACAATGGAGAAACGACGGACAAATGGGTAATTCACATTCTGGCGAGGACAGATTGAGACATGGCAATATTTCATTATGTTACTCGAAAAAGCACACAATTTAAGTTAAAGAGCTGGGTGTGGTGGCGTGTGCCTGTAATTCCAGCACTTGGGAGGCTGAAGCAGGAGGACTGTTGTGAGTTAGAGGCCAGCCTGGGCTACAAAGTGAGTTCAAAACCAGCCTGAACTGCATGGTGAGATCCTGTCGCAAAAAGACGAAAAAAAAAAGTGAATGAGTTGTGTATTTCTAGAATTTCTAGGCTGTGGTTGACTATAACTGAAAGCATAGATAAGGAGAAACTAATATGCATTAAACTCCACCCTAAAAACGCCAGCTTCAGTTGTCTAATAAGTAGGTACCAACGGAACAAAAGATAAAAATGACAGCGTCGTGGAAAAAATCTAGTGGTGCTGGTTATCAGCACAGGTTCTTCGAGGTATGACCAGAAACAAAACCACTACTGCCTCGAAAATAGATCTGAAATGGAAAATTCTCAAGGCTTGGGAATGAGAATTTATTTTTAGTAGGTTTCAAGAAAAGTTTAAAGACGAGAAATTGTTTAGATATCTCTTTACAAATCTAAAGGCTGTTATATCAGAAACCCAAAATGTATAGCAATTGACATATATCACATGAGACATTTTGAGAATTATAAACCAAAGCCAAGAAGGGAAATTTTAGTATGAGCATAAAAGGAAAAGTAATTTTTTAAAAAATGTACTTTCCCTTAAGTTTTCTGCTCTTCTCCCACTTCTCTTTATCAAGGTAATATAATAAATATATGAATTTGGAGATAAAGGCACAGATTTGGCCGGGCATGACTGCACATGCCTATAATCCCAGCACTTGGGAAGCTGAGGCAGGAGGATCACTCCAAGTTCGAGGCCAGCCTGGGCTACAAAGTGAGCTCAAGGCCAGCCTGAACTGCATAGCGACACCCTGTCTCAAAGAGATAAAGAAAGAAAGAAAAAAGGCACAGATTCTAGCTCTACCACTCACCTTGTGTCTTACAAGTCATGTCTTCTCTGTATCCTAGCACAGTACCCACATTTAAGCAGTGGGTATAACAATACTTTGCTTACAGATTACTGTAAGGCTTAATAATAACAGTAACAGCTGACATGTACTAAATGCTAAGGATGTGCAAAGTAGTATTTTCAGTACTGAACATG